GGAGAGCGAGTATTGCTTCAGTTTTCACCCATGAAGGGTGTGATGAGGTTCGGAAAGAAGGGCAAGCTGAGCCCTAGGTATATCGGACCATTTGAGATCCTTCAGAGGATTGGCGAGGTGGACTACAAGCTTGCCTTGCCACCTATTTTATCTGCGGTTCATCTGGTGTTCCATGTCTCTATGCTCTGGAAATATTATGGTGATCCGTCTCATATTTTAGACTTTAGCACAGTCCAATTGGACGAGGATTTGACTTATATTGAGGACCTTGTGGCGATCTTGGACAGGCAGGTCCGGAAGTTGATATCAAAGGATATTGCTTCAGTGAAGGTTCAATGGAGGGGTCATCCGGTCGAGACGGTGACCTGGGAGACCGAGCACGACATGTGGAGTTGTTATGCTCATCTATTCACCGCTTTAGGTATGTCTTTATGCACGTTCGAGGATGAATATTTATTTTAAGAGGGGAGAATGTAACGACCCGATCGGTCATTTTGTGTAATTGCGCCCCATTTTCCCTTTTCATGCTTCACACATGTGTGTTTATGTTTTTTGTGACTTGCGGGGTTGGTTAGATTTATTTCGGGAAGCTTTCGGGTTGATTTGGACCCTTGATTCTTGACTTAGAAGTTTAAATTTGAAAATGTTGACCAAACTTTGACTTTTGTGACAACGACCCCTGAACTGTGTTTTTATGGCTTTCGATAGCTTCGTATCGTGATTTCAGACTTGGGCGTATGCCCGGAATTGATTTTAGAAGTTCGTAGGTTGATTTGTGTTGATTTGCCGAAAGTTGGCAATTAAAAGTTAAAAAGTTTGACTGTGGGTTGACTTTTAGCTATCAAGCTTGGAATTTAATTTTGGGACTTAGAATATGTTCGTTATGGTATTAAGAACTTGCCTGCAAATGTTGGTGTCGTTTGGAGTTGATTTGATAGGATTCAGACATCTAGTTGTAATTCTAGATGTTCTTGAAATATTTTTTGAAATTCATGTGTTTTAGAGTTCAATTTGTAGTTTTAGATATTATTTTTGTGTTTTGATCTTGTGAGCGAGTTCGTATGATGGTTTTAGACTTGTATTGATGTTTGGTTTGGAGCCTTGAGGGCTCGGGTGAGTTTCAGACGCTTAACGAAATGTTGATAGAGTTTAAGTTTGCTCGTGTTTGCACAGGTGCCTCAGGTCTCGCATTTGCTAGTTCTTGGATCACAATTGTGATATTAGGCCAAGTCTGCTAGGTTCACATTTGCGAACCTAGTGTTCGCATTTGCGATAGGCACCTGGGGGGAGCTGGTCCGCATTTGTGATCTTGATGGTCGCATGTGCAGGGGTCCAGCGTTTGCAATTGCGATGACAGCAAAAATGGAAGGGCTTCGCGTTTGTGAGGGATTCTTCGCATTTGCGAACCCCAGGTCGCATTTTTGACATTTGTGACTGGAAAAAAAGCTGAGGGACGGTATTTTTGAACTCATTCTCTCATTTCTTAACCCTAGACTTGGTAGAAGGCAATTTGGAGAGGGGATGTTTACCTTCAAACCTTGGGTAAGTGATTCTAATCTATTTCTAATCATATTCCATCAACATATCTTAGATTTTAACATCAAAATTTTGTGAATCAAAGTAAAAATTTGTGAAACTTTGTCAAATTTTTTGAAAAATAAGAAATTGAGTTTTGAGAGTCGATTTGGACTCAAATTTTGAAACTAATCACATATATGAACTCGTGCGGTCATGGGTAGACTGAATCTACCATTGGATCCGGGTTTTGATCGGACGGGTCTGGGTTGACTTTTGTTGACTTTTTGAGAAAAGTATAAAATTCTTAATTGTATCTATTGCAATTGAATTCCCTAGCATTGTTTGATGATACTGAGTCGATTTTGGTTAGATTTGAGCCGCGTGGAGGTGGATTGTAAGAGAAAAGCTATTTCTGAGTGTTGAATTGGCCTAGTTGAGGTAAGTGACTTGCCTAACTTCATCCTGGGGGAACTACCCCTTGGGATTGGTATTGTTTGATTCAATTGTTCTAAGTAAAATTTGTGTACTCAAGGTGACGAATGGGTATACGGGTTGTACGTGGTATTTGATCGGTTTAGGCTACTTAGACTATTTTATGCTTTAATTGAAATACCATATCATGTTCTAAATTCTCATAGTTAATTTATTCTTAATTGTGTTAGACTATCCATACATGCCTTAATTGACTTGTTAGTACTTGTTCTACATCCTACTTGCTAAATTGATCTCATGCTTTAGTTGAATTTGTTGCCTCTTTTATTGTTACATGATATCTCTTCATTATTAATTATCATTATTTGAAGTTATTGTTCGTGTTATCTCTTTCCTTATTGATTTTCGTTACTTGAAGTAATTGTTCATGTTATCCCTTTACTTGTTGATTTCCATTATTTGAGACTCATTGTTAAATGCTATCTCTTTTATTGTGAGTTAGTCTTATCTAATATTGTGGTTATACATTATTTCTCTCATTGTTGAGTTATTTGGTGTTGAAGTTATGAAAGTCGTTAATACGTTGAGGCGATATTGGTTTTTGTTGAAACATCTATCTTGTTGAACTGGTTGGCTGATTAGTGAGGTCTTAAAAACATCATAGAATTCATGATCGGCTATTCCATTTTTACTTTCAGCAAGTAGGCGACGCGAATCTATGATTTCTATCTTTCAATCGGATACCAATTGCTTGGATGTATTTGAAATCCTCGAGATGACTTGCAGAATAAATTCTTTCTAGGTTTACAGGTACAAATAGGTAGGGACGAGTAGACAGGGTACGACGAAGCCTGCGGGGTGACACATGGTTATCATTCATTGTTATTGATGATATTCTTGTATACGTTGTGGTGGAGCCATGAGATATAGTTGTGAAAATATTGATGTTATTTTTGTTTTCATGTTGTGATATATGGGCACTGGTGGTGCGAATTATTATCATGATATGATATTGACGCGCATGCGGCGGTATGAGGCTTGGGGTTGATGTGCATGTGGCGGTATAAGGCAGGACTTTTGTGTGTATTGCTTTTAGGGGAACTACGTGAAGCCACACATCATCATAAGGTGTAGGGATGGGCATAATACCGGCCAAATCAAAAAAACCGACCGAACCGATAATTTCTGTTTTTTCGGTTCATTTTTTTGGTGTTCGATTTACACTTTTAAAAAGTTTGGTGTTCGGTTTTGGTGCCTTGGTTTTTCGGTTAGTTTTTCGGTTAACCGAAAAACCGAAGTTCTTATATTGGTTCTTGGCCTTTGGCTCTAGGCTCTTCTAATTCTTTAAGTTATGGGTAAACTTAGTACATTTCTCAAATACGAATAAGACTTAAACCTAAAGTATTCGCCTTTTGTTGTCTAATGTCAGTAGGTTAGAGTATATCTTTTGTAGATTCAATAGCATTTATTCAATTATTTAATTGTCAAAAATTGATTTTTTAATTGGAAAAGAGGAATTTAAGGTGATGGGGTAATGATAGTCACAAATATTTTTTATGTGGTTATAGTTAATATGAATAACTTTATATGAAAATGAAATATTAGTTAGAAATACATTTTACGTCCTGATTATAGTGAGGATATGAAGTTCTATGTTTGTGCATCATTTGTTGCTAAATGTTTAAACGATGAATCTTTAGGAAAAACTTATATTGTAATTTGGTTGTAAAAGAACTATACACATCTAGTGAGGTATAGTTTCCAGAGGTAAATGAGACATAATTCGAAGGATTGAGTTAATAATATATTTTCGGAATGAATAATGCATAAGGAATTACGGATTGTGTGCAACTAATTTCTTTGTTGCTTACTTGCTCTTGATTTTGTTTTGGTGAAAAATGTGATGCTAAGCCACTGTTTTCTTTTTTATATATCCAAACCGACCGAATCAAACCGAAAATCGACCAAACTGAATTAGTAAAAATCGAAATAATCGAACTAATTTTGGTTTGGTTATTGGTGCAACAAATATAAAACCGAAAGCCGAATAAACCGAACCGAATTTCATGAAAACCGAACCGAACCGACCGATGCTCACCCCTAATAAGGTGAGCTAAAGTGCGTGTAGCTATTTCGGGAAAACTGTTTTCAAAACCTATTTCAAATATAAGGTTTACGTGGCGGTATAAGAAAAGATTATGATTGAAATTGAGAAATGTGAATACGAGGCGGTACCTCGGTTGAGATTCTTGATTATACGAGGCGGTACCTCGGTTTTGATTTTATTATACACGAGGCGATACCTCGTTGTGATTCTTGCTATTTATTTCATGTTGCAAAGTATTTTCGGTGGGCATATATCTTATTGTTTCATTCTTTATTGTTCTAGCAGTTGTTGTCCGTACATGATTATTATAGCCCCCTTTAGTTGCCTCTTTCATGCTATTTCTATTGTTGATTTCTGGTACAAGTTCTTGTTATCATCTTGTTCAGTATCAGTTGTTTCTTCACTTTCCATTACATATCCGTATTACATTTTCATCTGTCTATTTTATATCCTAGTAGGTGTCTTGACCTGGCCTCATCACTACTCTACTGAGGTTAGGCTCGATACTTACTAGGTACCATTGTGGTGTACTCATACTACGCTTTTGCACTTTTTTTTTGTGCAGAACCAGATACTACGCTTTTGCACTTCTTCGTCCTAAAATAACATTAAATAACTTAGTGAGCTACTCCAAGCCTTCCCTACTCACGCTCTTCCAAAATTCCATCGAGATCTCGTTTCGGTCGGTCGTTCCCCCTGCTCATCTTACGCATTGCCCCTTCAATCTCCTCGACTCTTATGCACCTACAATATCCAAAGTCCCGACGACCCTCGGAGTGTTCTAAGTCACCTAGCTCAATGTTCCTACCCCTTCTTCGTTCAAGAGTTTATGAAAGTAAGTCTGCCATCTTTGGCGAATAAGTGCCTCATCCAACAAAACTCTGTATTCCTCGTCCTTGATGTATTTCACTTGGTCCAGGTCACAAGCCTTCCTTTATCTCACCTTGGCTAGTGTGTACAACTTCTTATCTCCTCCTTTGCCTCCAAGTTCTTCATACAAGCGTTCAAACGCAGCAGTCTTGGCCGTTGTAACCGCTAACTTTGCTTCCTTCTTAGCTATCTTATACCGCTCCCTATTCGTCCTCTTTTCCTCCTCGTCCACGCTCTCCAAGAGCTGCAGATATGCCGCTTTATTGGCTTCCACTTTACCTTGAACCTCATTACTCCACTACCAATCCCCTCTACGGCCACCAAACGAGCCTTTAGAAACCCCCCCAATACCTCCATAGCAGCCTCTCTAATGTAATTCGCAGTCACAGTCCACATACCAATCTTAATTATTTAATTATCAAATAAGATTTTTTTTTCTTTTGTTATGGTCATATATAACATATCAAACAAAAAATAATTAAAGATATTTTAGCAAAATTACTCATGAATCAATTCGGGCTAAAAATCAGCACAATATTAGATAGGCTAAGATGGACCAGAATTTTTCAAAAATAAAAAATAGGTAAAGTAGAAAGAATATCTTGTCCTTGTGCCAAGAGACAGTGTGGGTTTATTAACTTTTAAGCATATCCCCATGGCCGAGTTTATGCCAAGTGTTAATGCTTTGTTTCTAAGCTTTTCGCTTATTTTACTCTAATTGATGAGACTCTCCTTAAAGGTATTACGATATGCTAATTAATTAATTAGTTAATATGAAGATATATCTCCCTTCATGTCCCATTTTTATTTGATTGGCTTTAACTGTTTCTACTCTTAATTTATTATAAGCTTTATTATTAGAATATGATTCTTGTTACTTATTTAGGGAAATCCAAGATTCATTAATTCTTGTCCAATGTCTATGACTCTATATTTGTTTACCCGAAAAACGGTTAGAGTTGAATTTGTACATAGTTCTAAGGGTATGTGATATAACTTGACACAAATTGTAATAGTAAATAGAAATATCGAATATTGACTGTAAAGGATGAAAATAAGCAAAGTTGAAAAGAGGATGATTTATGGATTAAGTAAAATGAGTCAATCTATGAAGCTAAAAAAGGATAATTCTTCAATATGGGAGTGTATGATATCTGAGTTACAATGTCTGCCAAAAGCTTCCCCTCTTTACAGAAATATAGCCATCCCTCTTATAGTGGAGGGATCCTACTTTATATATCATTAAAAATATATAGTGGGGAACCCATGACAAATCAGTTTTTTTCTTAATTCACGCCGAGATTCTCTCCCTTAGTGCAGTTGTAATGGCTCTTGTCTATGAGCTCGATCCTAACCGAACTCGGTATCTGTCGATTTCCAAGTTTAGATCTTGATGTGGGTTTGAGCTCGATGTTGACTCGGGGCCCAGTATTAGGCCGGTATTGGTTGGCCTTTTGCCCTTAAGCTCGATTTCACCGCTTCTCATTATAGTTTGATTTGGACCCGAGCTCGATAATGACTTCGAGCTCGGTATTTGACCTGTTGAGCTTCATGTTGTATTTCCTTAAGATTTCAAATGTTTCCTGAAATGAGCCAAATGGTCCTCTGCGCGCAGGGACTTAACTAGCATGTCATCAATATAAACTTCCATCGATTCACCTATTTGCTCTTCGAACATTTTATTTACTAGGCGTTGGTAAGTAGCTCCTGTATTTTTTAGCCCGAAGGGCATTACATTATAACAATATGTTCCATACTTGGTGATACATGAAGTTTTTGCTCGGTCCTCCGGGTTCATTTGGATTTGATTATACCCGGAATAGGCATCGAGAAAAGTAAGGATCTCGTGGTCGGCCGTGGCATCGATCATGCGATTGATGTTAGGTAGCGGAAATGAATCTTTGGGGCATGCCTTGTTTAGATCCTTATAATCTACACACATTCTAAGTTTGTTCCCCTTTTAGGGACTACAACTACATTGGCTAACCATTCGAGATATTTTACTTCCCGAATGGACCCTATTTGAAGAAGTTTAGTTACCTCGTTCTTTATGAATACGTGCTTTATCTCGGACTGGGGTCTTCTCATTTGCTTCACCGGTTTGAACCTAGGGTCCAGACTTAGCCGATGCGTCGTTATATCCGATAGGATCCCTGTTATATCTAAATGGGACCAAGCAATACAATTTATGTTATCAATAAGAAATTGAATAAGCTTTTTCCTGATTTCGGGGGTTAATCCGGTTCCTAGGTATACCTTTCATTCGGGCAGATATTCGATTAGTATGACATGTTCCAGTTCTTCAACCGTTGATTGGGTAGCGTCGGAATCATTGGGGACCGTGAAGGATCGAGGGATCCTTTGCTCATCATCTTCGTCAATCTTCTGATTTTCTAGTAGGGTGGAAGCTGACGTCTGTGATTGCTATTTGGCATTACTTTCCCCTTTCGAGTTCGATCCCTTCGTCGATGAGGGTGAGGATATTAGAATTGCTTCTTCGACGGCAAAAATTTCTCTTGCGGTCGGTTATTCTCCGTACACTGTTTTGATTCCCTCTGATGTTGGGAATTTAAGAACCTGGTGGAGGGTCCAAGATACAGCTCTCATATTGTGGATCCATGGTCTTCCAAAAAAGGCGTTGTACCCCATATCGCCTTCGATTACATGGAACTTCATTTCTCGGATGGTCCCGGCCACATTTATCAACAGAATTATCTCGTCTTTGGTAGTTTCACATGCCATATTGAATCCGTTTAGAACCAGGGTTGCGGGTACGACCTAGTCTTGTAGATCGAGCTATTCTACGACCTTCGATTTAATAATGTTGGCCGAGCTACCTGGATCAATTAACTCACGCTTAATTTTAGTTTTATTCATAAGTACAGATATTACCAATGCATCGTTGTGAGGTTGCATGACTCTTTCTGCATCTTCATCATTAAAGGACAGTGTTTCTATGGGTGTGTAATCCCGAGTTCGAGGTCGCTTCTCTCTCATAACCGATGTCTTAGTGCGTTTAAGCACCGACCCTTAAGGGGTATCGACACCACCAATAATCATATGGATGGTGTGTTGTGGTTCTTCATGTTCGTTTTGTCTACCAAAATCCTTGTTTTTGAAATGGTTCTTAGCCCTGTCGCTTAAAAACTCTCGAAGGTGCCCTTTATTGAATAACCGAGCTACCTCCTCTCATAGTTGCCTGCAATCTTCCGTTCTGTGGCCATGGGTGCCATGATATTCGCACATTTGATTGGGGTTCCTCTTACCAGGATCGGTCTGCATGGGTCGAGGCCATTTAGTGTCTTTGATGCTTCTGATAGCCGATACGATGGCGGATGCATCGATGCTGAAGTTATACTCCGATAACTGTGGTGCTTCCTTTGGTTCGGTAGACCTATCGAACCTATTTCTGTTAATCAGCCCCCGATCACTTCTTTTATTGACTTATCTGGGGTTATGTCTCGATTCATTAACCATGTGATCTCCACTATATGGTCGATATCGATCCCTGATCGGCCCTTGTTCTCGATTTATGTCTCTTCTAACAGCGGGTCCAGAACAAAAACTGATCGTCTTCGACTCTAATTTTCGATTGATACCGATTATGCACGTCGGCCCAAGTAATAGCTGGGTACTCGATAAGGTTATGTATCAACAGTCGTGAAGCCATCGAACTTTCTTCGTTCAAACCTTGAGTGAAAGCCTCAACATCCCAATCATCTGTGACCGGTTGTAGATCCATTTGTTCCAGTGGGAAACGAGATGCGAACTCCTTTAGCATCTCGTTATCCTTTTGTCTTACTTTGAACAGGTCTGACTTCCTAGTCTCGACCTTTATGGCCCCTGCGTGTGCTTTTACGAAAAAATCTGCAAGCATGGCAAAAGAGTCGATAGAATTAGATGGTAAATTATGATACCATATCATTGCTCCCTTTGACAAGGTTTTACCGAATTTCTTCAATAATACGGATTCGATTTCATCGTCTTCTTGATCGTTCCCTTTAATGGCACATGTGTAAGAGGTAACATGTTTGTTGGGGTCGGTAGTTCCGTTATATTTAGGAATCTCGGGCATGCAAAACTTCTTTGGGATTGGTTTAGGAGTCGCTCTTGGGGGAAAAGGCTTTTGTACGAATGTTTTGGAATCTAAGTCCTTCAATATCGGTGGTGCCCCCGGGATCTGATCAACCCTGGAGTTATATATTTCCACCTTTTTGTCGTTTGCCTCGATCCTCCTTTCTCCTGACTCTATTCGTTTGGTCAGTTCTTCGAACATCTTAGCAATTTCGGGATTAGTCCCCGACTCTTGTTCGTTTGACCTTCCTTTGGCTGGTTCCATTTTGTGGGTGGCTTCTCAGGGTGGACTGGGCTCTGGCCTGCTCGGTATCTTGGTTTGGTTCTGCAACTGAGCTATTGCTGCCTGTTGAGTTTGCAATATTTCAAAAATCATACGCAAGCTGATTCTGTTTTCCTCGACGTTATAGGTATCTCGAGCTAGAGATCGAGTACCACCATGAATGCTATTTCCAGGTTCAGAACGTAGGTTTTCCTCAATGGCTATATGCGAATTAACATCTAATGGCACTTCGACTCGAGCTCCAACGACGTCGAAAACCGGCCTTTCGGCCCTGGGCGTCAAGTTGTCATTTTCACCTTGAAGGCCAACTTCATTGTCGATAGGTAAGGCCATTTAATTGATAGCTCGTCGCTGCTAAGCCGAAATCAAAGACACTTCTGAAAACAAGCATAAAATGGTGTGTTTTGCAGATTCATATCAAATAACCATTGTTATCCTTAGCCCCACGGTGGGTGACAAACTATTTACCCGAAAAATGGACAGAGTTCAATTTGTACGTAGTTCTAAGGGTATGTGATATAACTTGACACAAATCATAATAGTAAATAGAAATATCGAATATTGACTGTAAAGGATGAAAATAAGCAAAGTTCAAAAAAGGATGATTTATGGATTAAGCAAAATGAGTCAATCTATGAAGCTAAAAATGGATAATTCTTCAATATGGGAGTGTATGATATCTGAGTTACAATGTCTGCCAAAAACTTGCCCTCTTTACAGAAATATAGCCATCCCTCTTATAGTGAAGGGATCCTACCTTAGATATAATTAAAAATACATAGTGGGGAACCTATGACAAATCAATTTTTCCTTAATTCCCGCCGAGATTTTCTCCCTTAGTGCGGTTGTAACGACACTTGTCTATGAGCTCGATCCTGACTGAACTCGGTATCTGTCGGTTTCCAGGTTTATAGCTCGATGTGGGTTCGAGCTTGATGTTGACTCGGGGCCCAGTAATAGGCCGGTATTGGTTGGCCTTTGGCCCTTAAGCTCGATTCCATCGCTTCTCATCATAGTTCGATTTGGATCCGAGCTCGGTATTTAACATATCCCTGAAATTTGAAGCTCGTTTGTGCCTTCTTCAGATCCCATCTCGATATTATGAAGAATTTCTTTGGTCCATTACGTTCCCATCCCGATCAGTCGTACGAAGGCTGAAATCAATTTTGATCGTATACAGATAGTCCCCTCGTTTCTCGGTAGGGATGTGGCGAGAAATGATATGATTTTCCAACGGCTCGATTGGATGTACACTGACGTTTGCATCGAGCCCGACCATGATGTACGTGAAAACTGTCCCGTCGGTTCAGTTTACCAAGGCATTTAATACGTGTCAGATGGTGGTCGGCCACCGCTAATATTGAGTCGTCATTGCTCAATCTATAAATAGCCCCTCCTTTTACCATTTATCACTTTTACATCTTCATTCTTCAATCTCCAAATATTCCAAGTTCTTTCTCACATCTTTTGAGTTCATCTGTAAGTCTATGATTTTTCTGCAAATATCTTTCTTCTGTGATTTTCACTACAAAATCTTTCTTCAAAACATCACATCTTTGTCATCTCCTTCTATTTTCCATCTCTAAATCAAAAATGGCAAAAGCATCTAAAACCGTTCCTAAAAAAGAAAAAGCTTCTTCTTCACAGCCTGCCGTCGACAAAACACCGGTGGAGCCACGGCCTGAGGAGTATGTTCCCGGGGCATGTGTTCTTACCTCTGATTTTAAGGTCGATAAAGGCTCATCGGTTCCCGGTCGATGCGATCCAATATCGAGGTATATGTGCTCGATAACCGAGGGGCATATCGAGCAGTTGAGGAAAGACTGTACTTGGGAGAAAATAGAGGTGATAATCCCGGCTCCCGAAGAAGATATCACCACTTATGTGAAAGGGCTTTTAAGTGTGTATATTTACCCTTTCACACTGGCCCCCTCGTCCCTGTCATCATTGATTTTTTTCGTCAATTCCGAATAACCCTAGGCCAAATCCATCTTTCATTTCAGCGGATCGTTATTCCGATTCGTTTCTTCGTGAACAAGATCGAGGGGATACCTTTTACCTTCGACCACCCCATTCGATTGTACATCCCCCACCTCTTTCGAGGCGGGTTAATAAAACTTCAGCGTCGGGACACCAAGGTTCTGTTCTCGAGTATAGACGAGGACAAGGATCAAGGTTGGATGGGTAGGTTCATTCGAGTGAAGACTTCGGACCTAATACCGACCGAGAAGATGCCATTTCCCAAGGAGTGGACCATGAAGCGTAAGTGTAACTCTTCCATTATCTCCTATTATTTTGTTCCTTCGTTTCTTTCTCACCGATATCCCTTTTTGTGCTACAGCATTTCCTTGGATGTCCGGTGCAGTTCCTGACCTTAAGAACTGGGTACGGGACCTGGCTTTGACCTCTACATATGCCGAGCGCTCATGGCATGATTTGTCAAAGGGCCGATGAGAAAAATCATGGTAAGACTTTTTTCTCGTATCTTTGATAGTTCGAACGAAGCATTTTCCGTATACTTAATCAATTTTCTTATGTGTAGGCCTGGGCAAAGATGCGGTTTTGAGGCCTGGGCAAAGATGCGATTCGAACAAACCAGGAAGAGGCTTCGGCCTTTGTTCCAAAACCGGTGAAGGATAATAAGAGAAAAAGGGCCTCTGCTTCCGAAGATCCAAAACCAAAGACGAGGATGGCTCATAAGCCGAGGAAGGATATCATCCCTTTAACCGAAGAATCAGTTCGGCATCTAAGGGATGAAGATGAGGAAGAAGAAGATGACAGGTCCGTACTGGTGGCCCGAGTGAAGAAAACCATTGATGCCTCAAATGCAATTGGATCGATGGTGGTTCGTGTGTCTCCTCCTCGGACTGAAGTGGTATTGGAGAAGGATTAGGGCAAAGTCCCCGAGTTAATATAGGTCGAGGATGCCTCCCACCGAAGTCGACAATCGGTGGGTATATCTGAAAGGGCCGATCCCGAGGCTCTCCGAATCGAGGAGAACGCCCCAAGAGAGTCACTTGGGGCAATAGTAATTGGAGACTCGCCCCTCTCCCTACTTTCTCCTAAGGGGCAATTCGGGAAGCCCAAGCTTTGGGGGCCCTAGAGATAAACTGGTATCATGATGGGGATGACCCCTTATGTGATTTGTTTACTGGTGTCGAGGATGTTGCTGGCCCTAGTGATGTGTTGGGCCTTTTTTGTGAAGTGCTACAAACTCTAAATCGGGTAAGCCCTAATTCCCTTCGTTGGTATCACTTTTATGTTTACTATTCTTTTCTAACTTCTTTTCTTCTTTCTTCGTAGGCCGCAGCGGTTCATCGAGAAGCATGTTCTTGGTCTCGAGTTGAGATGCATCGGTTCGAGGCTGACCTCTGATGAGTCACAGAGGAGAGGGATGCCCTTAGACTCTTTTTCGGGCAAAGGGAAGAAGAAATCAAGGGCCTTTGAGCTGAGTTAGCCAAGGCTCATCAAGACCAGACCGTCCTGACTGAGCAGGTAATGATAATCTTAAAACCTCATGGGCTTGATTCAGGATCGGAGGCTAATATTTCGATCTCACAGCTGCAGCAGAAGCTCGAGACAATTGGGAAACTTCGTGAGGAGGTTGATATAATAACGGCGGAGACCATGGGATGGAAAGATGACATGGACCGCCTTGCTGCAGAAAAGGAAACTGTTCGGGCCCAATTATTATCGGCCGAAAGTCAACTTCGAGGTATAAAGGAGGGAGCTCGGTTCAAGCAAGGAATATAGAGGAGCTCGAGGCTCGGTTGGCCTCCAAACTTGCCAAGGCCAAATCTGACGCCGAAAAAGCAAAGGCTAATGCAGATGCATTTGTGGTCGCCTATCGGGCCGATACTGAAGCTGCTTAGGTACAGGCAAGAGAGACAGCCGAGACCGCTAACACTCGAGCACATTGGGTTGCTGAACTTGCTAAATGCCAATCTCAGAGGGAGACCTTCGAAGAGATCCATGCTCGAGGTTTCGATCTAACAGAAGAGATAAAAAGGGCTAAAGAGCTCGAAGCCGATGCTGAAGCCTTGGCTTTTGATGACGATGATGATGATGATGGGAGCAAGAGTGGATTCGAGAGCAGGGAGGAGCCCGATGGAGAAGATACTGCCCCCGGAGATAACCAAGAAACTTAGCCCTTAGTTTCCATTTTTGTCTTTTGTGTGTAGGGTCCTATTCGGACGTTGTAAACATTCTTGTATATATATATATATATATATATANTTGAGGCCTTAGGAAATTTTATCGAAGTCGGACCTTGTAGTCTTTATAACCGAGTGAGCATTTTCTCGAACTTGAATTAAAAATATCCCTTAGGCTTAATAGTCGAGTGTGTTTGCTCGGACTCGGGATTATGTGGCATGTAGGCTTAATAATCGAGTGAGTGTTTGCTCGAACTCGAAGCGATGTAGCCCATAAGCTTTATGGCTGAGTGAGTGATTGCTCGAACTCGAATTAAGATTAGCCCTTAGGCTTAGTAGTTGAGCGAGTGATTTTCTCGAACTCGAAATAAGATTAGCCCTTAGGCTTAGTAGTCGAGTGAGCGTTTGCTCGAGATCAAAGTATTGTAGCCCGTAGGCTTAATAGTCATGTGAGCGTTTGCTCGGACTCAAAGTAATGTAGCCCGTAGGCTTAGTGGTCGAGTGAGTGAGTGATTGCTCGAACGCGAAATAATATAGCTCGTAGGCCTAGTGGTCGAGTGAGTGATTGATCGAACTCAAAGTAATGTAGCCCTTAGGCTTAGTAGTTGAGTGAGCATTTGCTCAAGCTCGAAGTGTTGTAGCCCGTAGGCTTAATAGTCGAGTGAGCGTTTGCTCGGACTCGAAGTAATTGTAAGGCCCCGTAAAAATTTCCTAATGATTTAAGTTTTTAAAGTGCGCCAACGGTATTTGGGAATAACGTATTTGAGTATTAAAAGAGACCTATGGGATAGAGCCACATCATGTTGAATTGATAATGTATGTTTAAGGTGTGTTGGAATATACTAAGGAGTTTTGGGAAAGGCAAGAACTTGTGTGGAACAAGTTGGACACATTAAGTGGAAAGGATGTTTCAATTGGCACAAGACCCAACTTCAAATGAATAGAACTCCCTCAATATAATCACTTAGGTGGTGATCTACCTATCAGATTAAAGCCCTTTGAATTTAGTTTCCAACGCTTTAAACCGTTTGTCATTTGGATATGTATACAGAATGTTATGGCCATTTTACTGGATCTGTGCCAGATGCGCGGCCAAATCCGCGGCCGCGCACATGGGAACTCATTAAATAACCCCAAGGACGGGTATAGAGAGGGGTTAAGTCATTTCTTCAAGACTAG